AGAACCTCCGTTTCCACCACCCGTTCTAACCAATTCGTCAACTTGGGGAAAGGTACAGACAGGTACGGGTAGGTCTGTTCTAGCGTCGCGAGATTCTAGCCCTGCGAGCACGGTGCCCGCACAGAGAATGGGCACCACAAACAAATCTCCCACACCAATCGGACCGTGAGGACTTGCTGGTTCTCGCGACTTGGGAATCTCGCAACGACGGAACAGACTGTAGCCGTACCGTACCAATACCAGCTTTCAACAAACAAACAAACGGGGGGAGCACCGAGCCACGAAAGCTGCTGAATTACTGGGAGTCCGGAAGAGGCATTGATCACCGTGCTTAAGTCTCCATCAGCAGGAGCGATACGGCCCGGCAACCACTGCTTCGACAACTGCGGCGTCATGATAGCGGATCCAAGTACCGGTACCTGTAGTGACGGTTCTGGGTAGACCCTATTTTCTGCCCCGTGCGCTACTCTTTTGAGTACGGTACGAGTACGGTGCGGGACGTGCTCGAGGACCTACCCATGTGTGATTATATCATCAGAATTTGACTCACGCGGTGGATTCGGGAGAGATGATATTTAGGTTTGCGGACAAACTTAGTATGATAGTCGTAATTGCTGCGTTAAAACATCCGTCTCCCCAGCTTCTCGGCTGGGAGAGTGATATTAGAGGGGGTAGAGTTTGTCTACCCCTGGTCGCTGGGGAATGCCCAATTCGGGGTATCATATTATCATAGTCAATCTAGCGATCACATTATCGCACTGGGGAGCCAAAGCGAAAGGACAAAGCACCGATATTACGATGCTGCGGTAGCTCGTGAGTCCCCGAACCCGAGCTGAAGGGTTCGGCACTGCTTTGGCTAGCCAGCTGGTACACGGGGAGTTTGGGCTATCCGATCGGTGCGAGGTCCCTCACCGAATGCGCTCAATCTCTGCTGGCGCGTTAGCATAAGCGACTACGATAAGCATTGTTTATGGTCTGGTAACTTAGCTAAGGGTACGGTACTTCAAGGCTCACACAGTAGAGCGGGGGATCGAGGATCAATTCATACGCGAACCTGGTGCCTTAGGGAGCGAACCCAGTGGCGTGGGGTAGGGCCACATTCCATGACTTCATGGGGTCCATGGGTTTTCGGACTTGTTCTTGGACCTTATGATTGTCGGAGATAATTGTGATATGTAATCAAGTTGTTTCGGTCTAGGGCTCGGAGTTGCTGGAACCATATGTGGTGCCTACCGGATTTGTCGCTACCTGGGCGTTGGTGGGTCTTGTAGGCTCTTAGTCCTCGCGAACTCAATTCTCTCCATCTTGGGATTAGGATCGGGGTGACTCGGAATGGGATACAGCTAGAGCCAGGGCATTGGGGCCAGCATCGGCCTGTTATGAGCGACGTGTACCGCACCGGCACTCTTGTCCATGCACTAGAGCGCTAGAGTTGAGTTTTGTCGTGGTTTCAGGAGAAGATGCTTCGCTATATACCGGTAATCCATTCATGAGAGGCGTACTTCCAGATACCTTCACTCCGTGTCATTGTTACGGATTTGGGTGGTATCCGGAAGGTCAAGTTCCTTATGGAGATACCTTAACCCCTGCGGATCTTGATGAGGAAGTGTGCGGGTGAAACGGCGACCCTTATGGGAAGCTCGGGTTGTAGGTTTTCAGTTTCGCGAAGGATACGAGGATGAACCACGGCCCCTGTCTCACTAAATTTCCGAGGTTTATACTCGTATCCGGCATGAGGTATCTGAAAATGAGGCACCTTTATTTCTACTGGTGGAGGGGTTATGTAACACAGGCCGTATTTTCCTTTCGGGTGGCATTTATTGGCGGTTTGGGAGGGTTTAGGTTGGAGGGGGGTTCTCGCGTCCTACCTATGATACTGTCCCCTGAACTTATGTCTGATGGATAACGGGGAACATATTGCGGGCGGCAGCTTGAGAATATGGAAAATACGGAAGCCCTTTCTGGAATGGTAATATGTGCATTACTTGACCCTTTGAGTTGGACTGGCTGGAAGCGCGATAGACCTGGCCCCCACCACGAGACAGGTACCGTGGAAAGCATCTCAATGTGTCTCTTTGTTTCCGTCACATTGTATCACTCATGCGCTGAGATGTGCTTGCAATGCCCGAAGCTAGATTTTTATCAAAATTTAACTTTGTGTATCTAGGTTGAAACAAATTCTGGATATGAGCAATAGGCATACCCCTCTTGGAGGGCGGGGCAAAGAAATCGCGCAGTTATGTTATCGTCTGGGGACCCAAGAGGTAGTCCATCTTATTGCCTCATTGAGTGTCACTCGACACAGTGATTTCCACAGCAGAGGAACTCGCGACGCTCAACTTGACTAGCAGACAGCAGCCGACAATCCCCATCAATTGTGAGTAATAATGGATGTGGAGAAAGAAAAAACATTCAAATAACATACATTTCAACAGATGATCAATTGGCACACGACACTTGCACATAAGAGAGAGAGAGATTGGGAACGGATAAGAGTAAGATGACACAGGAAGTGGAAAGTGCTGAGATGGGCAGATAGCCAACTTGGATAATCAGGTGACGCGGGAGGGGGGGGGGGTCAACGGTCCTACATACAATTGTAGAGAAGAGGAGGGAATGGTAAACATAGGACTGTCACCAGTGGAGCCAAAACGAGAGTCAGTCAGACAATGGGAAACGATCAAAGGGTTTTTTGAAAGAGAGAAGAGGTGGCAATTCTTTTCTGCGAGGAATTTTTTTTTTTTTTTCAAATTCAATAGATTACAATCCTAGTATGATAAGGTAAATATGGCAGAAGATATAATTTTCGTATGGGGGGGGAAACACACGCCTAGATTATTCGTGACGTCTGAAATCTGAAGGCAATATCTCACGCTCGATAAGACTTCCGGAGCAGCATTGCTTGGTAGTAGCTACAACCATTCATATAATACAATCCTCAAGCTGGATGGGAGGTTGGGTCCATGCTGCCCCTTGATAGTATCATAGCTGCAGATTGGTATAAACTGGCTCACCTGCCCGGGCCCTGCTTGGGTTTTCACCTTTAGTGTGTATGTTCCGGCACGCTTCTGGTCAACCTCCCGATCCACCAATTATTGATACTATGTATCATGATTATCTGGTGTATATATAGATTTAAGTTAGCCTCTACCCATCATACGATAACTCCTCGCTTTCATCTTAAGGACCATGGCGGGGACCATCGATGCCCTACGGCCCTTTCCGCTTCCGCTCCGTGGGTGCACGATATACTGTATTCTTGCGAATGCGTTAACCCCCCATATTTATTTCAATTACCTTAGCTGTGCGCGATTAGTGTCGTTGATTGTATGTCTGGCGTGTAGTGGGTTTATATTTAGTGAGGAAGTAATTGTGCCCCCTCCCCCCCCTTTTTTCTTTCTTTCTGATACTCTGCTTGTTTGCTCTTAACTAGTATATATATATATTTTCCTCAGTGTTGGGGACGGACCTATCTCAGCGAATTCAGGCAATCCGCGGGGAATCCACCACACCCGCCCTCCCCACCTCTGGGAAAACGACCACCGGGAAAGCAGTGACTGGGAGGGTTCTCGTTAATCATATCATAATAATTGGGGAATGGGCGCATGGCCTTACGATACTTTGCATATTTTCCGGAGGAGGGTTTTATAGAAAGGCAAAAAGGTGAAGAGAAAGATAAATATCATAAAAATAACTATGACAGCTAGGCAGGTAAATTCAACGCAAACAGCTGTGATAATAGCGTGGAAAACCGTGACCAATCCTCTACTCATCAGCTACTCACTCACAATCTCTCACTCGGTCCAGTGTTAGGTGCTGGACTGGATAGCTGCGTTATAGTATCAAAACATGCCACGGCCCGTAATCGTGGGGAAAGGGGTTTTGTCGCGGATAGACGGAAGATCCATCACCACGTCAGGGACTCGTTTGTCGGATACGAACTGGTCGTCAGCGAAAGGGAGAAAGAAATTTTTTTAAAAAAAATAGTCTAGCAAATTACGAGTAAGGTATCATACGGGGGGTAGTCGGTCCTCGCTACCACGGTTGCTGTGCCACCTGGGTCTCTTCACATGATACTACGATATAGCGATGCCATGGGGACTAAGTTATTGCTCGTTTAGCTGGTGGCTGGAACTGGATCACCTTTCGCCCAGGATTAGTAGTAGTTACCGTCTTGTATTACTGTTAAACGTTGGATGGGTTATAGGCGGCGGAAGAGAGAATTTGAGTATTGGCCGCTGGTCGCTAAAGACGGGGACCACTTTCCGTTCGAAGGAGCCATCGCGGTAGTATCATACTTAACACAGGTGTTGTGAAAAGCTTGGTTTTTGCAGCCGGGGAAGGCATATCTTGGTGGGGGTTAGGGCCTGAAGGTGGACGGGCCCATTGCTGCCGGGTGCCCGTATGATGCATTTGGAAGTGTGTAATGGAAGAGTATCGTATAACGAGTGATGGCCGTGACTTGTGATTCCACTGCTCGGGAGCGTCGCGTTGTGCCTGGCTCTCTGGTCGGGAGTCAGATGGGTGGAGATGGAGAGGGATCAGCTTGTTTCAGGAGAGATATCATACTAAGATTGTTGGGTTTAGTGCTTATCCTCCAGGCAGACAGGTTAGTTTCCTTTCATCTAGTTTCTCTTAGTATGATATGATAAATTTCTCACCGCTCTCTTTAACGTTAGCTACTGTCCGAGTTTCCCTCCATCCCTTCTCCCCCCGTTCCACAACTCCACAACTCCACATCTATGCCGTGTCCAACCATGGTATTACCTCCTTCATCATTCGCAGTCCTCCCGAGGTTCTCATATTACCGACCTCGGGTTTCTGGATTTTCTTTTCTCTTGTTAGTTTCCAGTTTAGCATAAGAGTCCACAGCTGTGTATGTGGTAATAAAATCAAGCTTCTTTCTCGATAGAAGTCATATCAATTCACAAAGATGGCGAGTGATCGACCGTGATTTTATGTCACCGTGGGGTTTCTCGGTGTTTTCTAGTATGCTTTGTTTGTAGAATTTTAGATATCTCATGAAGCGGTATCCTAGCATGAAAGCCTCTCAACCCCGGTTTCCGATGGGCTTTGCGAACTTTAATTGTTCGGTTTGAAGATTTAGGAAGGGACACACGCGGCATTTTTGTGGGGAATGTGCTATCCGGTGCCTGCGAGCAGGGTTCCCCGTGGGGCATATCCTCATTATCGCTGAGAGAATCTGTCCCCGGGAGCAGGACAACATTCATAGACTCGACACTCTAAGATCTAGAATACCCATCTTTCTCTCTTTCGGATATCCAAGCACTTAACCAAATAGACTTCCCCAAAACCCTCCACCACCACTACCCCACCCCTTATTACTCCCCTCCCTTCCAACCTCCTCCACAAACCTCTCCAAGACCTTGCCTTTCATCCTCTCATCCCCACCCTCAGCCCTCCACTCACCCACACTCTCCCCTCGCACAAAAACCATTACCGTTGGCACTTTGCGGATCTATTCCCACCCCCATTCACATTAGTCTCGCGGAATGGGGAGGGTGGGGAGGGGAAGGTGAAACGTGCACTATATCGCAACCCCAACTCCCGTATATCACCCGGCGCATCCAGTTCCACTTCTACCAGGCCTATCTTTCCGTTTGAGCTCTCTACCGCACGCCATAGGAGCGGCTTCACGACGCGGCAGGCCGGGCAGTAGCTTGTTGTCCAGTAGGTGATTAGCGGTGTGGATGAGGCAGTGTGTGCTAGAAGCAGGGTGTGGAAGGCGCCAGTTGAGCGGACACTGGGATCTGTTAGTTTAGGGCGAAGGGAATGGGATAAGGCTGGAGAGTTGCGTACGAATCGTAGATCCTTGGTTGGGAGTGTGCTTGGGAGGTGTGGAAATTGGAGATGCGAGGGTGGAGAGGGAGGCACAGGGTGCGAGTCTGGAGGAGGGCTTTTAGGGGTCGCAGTCGGAGCGGCATCTCATTGGGAAGGCGGGACTTCGCGGTACCGGAGTTGGAGGATGGATAGAGGTTATGGAAAGTAGTGAGTTTTGGTGCCTGGTTTGCTAAATGATCTCAGAGTCTTGGCGATCTAGTTAATGTGGAAAATGCGTGCATTACCGATTCCGAACAGCTCAAAACTTCACTCCCAGCCCACCAACTACTCGCACCGTACCCGAGTATGATACTTGTGATGCGCCGTGAGAGATCTAGTATCAAACGACTCGATACGGTGAAGGTGTAAAAGAGACAAGGTAACAGGCGTACCTACAGGCGTCTAGCACGTTTGAGTATCGGCACGGTGCTGCACAGCACCTATGATAAGTTACTTGAAATAACCAGCTGTGATCACCTAAACACGAGCACCAGAGATTGAATACAGCGGAACCAGAACAACTCCTCATCGCATGCAAACTAGCGTTACTTTTAAGAGATACGGTACAAGATCAGTGAATCCCTCCTTTCATCCCAGAATTAAATGCTCAGTACCTCCAGAATAAACGCCAGAAACAACACCCATCACTACCAACCTACCCAAACACCGAGAGGCGTTCATCACGCCAACGTACGCTCTCACCGAACATTGATAACGCCCAAACCCCGACCAAATACAACCCAGCCCAACCCAACCCGGCCCCAAAGTGCCCCCCACATCCCTAATTCCTACAAGCCAGAAGAGAGAATAAAATGCACAGAGAACATATCGGAAGGCGTTTCTTGACGAATTCCATCCTACCACTGGATATAAGAAGCGCCACGGCAAAACGCGAGAAAACTAGAAAAGGGAAGGGAGTAAAAAGAAGAGAAAAGAGAAGCAGACAAGCAGAAATATCAAGAGATGGCGAGAGAGAAATAAAAGTATGAGGAGATGTTGGGGCTCAAGAACTATACTACCATCCAAGGCTATCCATGGACGACTCCATCTACAAAATAATAATTGGGGAAGAGTGAAAACTCAAACTTCCATCCCTTCGAAAAAGCCATCATCGTAGTCGTCATCGCCCCAGATGCTCTTGCTCTCGATGAAATCGTCGTTAAAGTCTTCACCTTCGCTTTCGTCCCACCCGTCAGATCCGACTCTACTATTTCTGCCCCATCCGGCAAGGCTCCTCTCGAGGGGGGAGTGATTCAAGGTGCTCAATCCCCTGAGGTAGAGATAACAAACTCTCTTCTTGTGCTTGTTGAAGAAGAAGAGGTTGGTGGACCAAATGAGCCCTTCATCACCATACGGATCGTTGGAGACATCATCGGGAGAGTAGGCATAGATATTGCAATTCAACAAATCCATCTCCTTATCAATTGTCTCCCACATCTTGGGAAGCTCCCTGGAAATGTTGACGCCCAGATTGAACAAAGTTGTATTAAAGTTGTTCATAACGGGTCTGATGTGACGCTCACGACGGAAATCCGATGGGCGGAGCGTGGTAGAAAAATCATAGTCAGGATGCGAAGCGTTAAGAGTAGCAATCAAGTAAGCAAAAGTGCGTCTAGCCGAAATCTGGTCCAAAGGCCCAAACGGGGAATGCAGGGTTTGGTAAACAGCGGCAGACTGGTACTTGCTAGCGCTATCGGAACCGCGGTTAGGGGGTGATAAGGACTCCGATAGACGGAGGTCGGCTTCATAGCGAGTACTGATAGTTTCGCAGATGCTTTTGTAAAGCTTCTTGTCAGCCCCTGCGGCCTGAATTGACTCGCAAAAGTGATTATTAGCTTGAGCCGCTACAGTCGAATAATTTCATGGGCTAGAGTTAAGGACCTTGGTGGTGTAGATGTCTACACCGCCAACGACACGACAATCAGGAGTGTCGAAGACGAGAGCACGATTGATCGAATCAAGCTCGCGAAGGGGCAGGAACTAAGTCCGGGGCGGTAAACATCAGCGATCAATCTCCGATAAAAATAGGCCGAAACCCAACAGTAGCCGCGAAGGTTTGGCGCATTCTATATTGCAGGGATCAGAGCTTACCTTCATGGCTTCGGTCGATGGGGGGGGATGTTGGCGGGGAGATGTATTCGGAAAGTCGCTGGTGAACCGGAGGAGTTATCGAAAGCGAAGCTTGATATGAATTCCTGATTAAACCCTCGAGGTCCGTCCGTTCGTTATTCAAAGGGAGTAGAGTAGGGCTATGAGCTGAGAAATTGCCAGAGAGAGAGGGATATTTGCCAGGTCAGATAGCCCGCGCGGATACGACCACTACCCTATTGCTCCCCGTTTCTCCGATTCCCTATTTGATTCGACAGAAAGACAACGCTGCAGAGCGCGAGTAGGTACTGGGGCCAAAGGGTTCACCGATCTGCTAGGACCGGGTTACTTTAGCAACAGACGAGCGTGCTAGCGACGGACGACATGATTTGATGATGTATAATTCGGGGGGCGTTTTCTGGTGAGTTCAGGAGGGAGGAAGAAGAGAAGCAGTACGAGTAAAAGGAGTCGAGGAAGTATGCGGGAGGGTGGGTGACCATAAGCAGCTGAGAGCGATTGATCTCCCCTACCAAGCTCTCTTGGCCGAAAACGGCCACAAGACGAAAGGATGATCTCAGGATGTGTGGCGTATTATGGAGCACGTAAAGGGTTCAAGTAGGAACGTGTCTGGGCCAGGGCCCTCAACGTTAGACCGGAGCGACATGTTATCGTGTGGGGGAGGGGTGAGTTCGCCAAGAACAGGAGGACCTCGTATCATACGAGTATTATTACCCCGGTTGCCAGTCCGAACGAGCATCGGGAAGTCGGTTGAGTTGGTTTATCTGTCTCTTCCACCACGTACGGGTACCACTCGAGCACCGTAGTGCTAGTACTGTACTGAAAAGAGACGGAACCGGTAGGCCACGATGGAGTGATAAATCTTGGTGGATGAACAGGAAAATCGTGTCGACAGGGAAATGTTAGAGGTGAGGGCATCGTATTTTCCTCCTCCTAGCCCACCGGGTGTCCGGGATGACCGGACAAGTTCTGCGAGCAATGGGAAACCCTACAGAATCTGGCAACGAACCACTACGAGTACTCGTACTATGCAGGAATCGCAGTAAAGCTAGGAAACTGCCTCAATGGGAGGCTTCAGTTAATCCATCATTGCCTGTCCCCTTCGGCTCTGAAAAAGGAAAGGATTTCATCTAACCGCCGAAAAGCCGAATTAAATCTGCTATCCGCAAGCTCTGGGAATACTCGAGTACAGTGTCTCTCCTGGCAATACCTGCGGGAGTTTGGTAACTTTTGACAGGTGACAATAATATTGTCCACAATTTGTTCTTATTATGGAGGGTGGGCCTAACACAGCTCGAAAGGGAAACCCAGCAAGCCACACAGGTGCATACCCGAATTAACATTGAACAGTAACACCCACCGTTTCACCCTCAGTGGTTTGACCACTTCCATATTGTCGATCTCGAGGCATGGTCGTGGGTTTTGTTTCCCTGGTTGAAACTACTAGTATTGCACCGCCGTGACAGCTCACTATCACCTTACCCGACTAAGGGTGCTAGCATCAAGGATACAGTTCTTCCGACGATAAGAGTCCGGGACGGCTATGATACCACACTATGTCCTCAGAGAACACCGCCAGAAAGTTTCCAGGAGACACCCTATAGCAATGATGCCACGTACGTGAGCCCTGAAGACCCCATCCCGTGTATGCTGCATAGCTGGGTGAGCAGATCACAAGCCATTCCGATTCTAACCTATGGAGCTTCCTTCTGCCCCCCCTCCCCCCTTCGACAACCACGACCCTAGCAAGCACCCTTCCTAGGGCACCGAGAGTTTGTTCTCTCAGCAATCGAACCCACTTCGAATGCTGGGTCAATTCCAAGGGTTTTTTCTAACTCAACTGATCAGCGTATCAGGCTGTTGCTAGTATGATATCATACTCGCCGTAGGGGTTCGATGACCTACTCCTTTATCTCAGATGCGGAAACTGCCCTAGACAATCGGAGCAGATTAGTAGCCTACACCCCCAAGGCTCTCTGCTTGTAACAAAGCTTGATCTTTCACCGTGAGCCTATCACTTGAAGGTCCACGGAATCCCCATACATCATACCGCACATGAGACTATAAATTTCCTCAGCCCTTCTCGACCAGGACCCTGTGGCTACCATGGCATCGGCCACGGAGCCCCGTATGTTGAGACGACAATGAAAGGGACCTGTCACAGCCTTAATTTGAAATTAGAGGATGTCTCTGCTTGGTAGGGTATGATATCACCACTGCCACCAGAAAGAACTCTGAAATAAGCAACCTAGCCGAAAGGCAGCTTTCCGCCAAGCGGGCCCCCTTGACGTGGGATATCACTTTCCCCCATCTCTGTTTCAAGCGCTTTGTTACCTCCCAAGATATTTGGCGACATTTCGCCAGGTCCTGTATTTCATCGCCTATCACTCGCAATTCAGATCACCGTTTTATCAACAATCTTCGGGAGCAAAAATGCCCTAATCTTCTAATCTTAGCTGGGGCAAACTGACCTGAGATGTCAGGTCTTAAACCGAACTACGGTGAACAGCCGAACAAACTCCGGTTCGCCGGCGAGTGCTCTCCGAGACACATTACCGAGAGAATAAATTGTATCCTGATTGCTCGAGTATTAACCTCACTCAGCTCCTTCATGATGATACTCCGGATGCCCAATATACCAGCGCTAGCATCCAGAATTCCTGCCATATGTTGCACTAGCTGGACAATACTGGTTACAATCCGTGCTCGCCCGGGAGCGTAGAGCAGGTTAGAAAAAAATAATAATACCCAAACTCCCGCTCAGGTTTTGGGTCGCACGAACCACACACACGAATACAAACCCATCCAACGCTTCTGGCCAGGACACAATAATCAGCAGGACGACGCCCCCCGTCTAACTGCACCCCAGTCCCCAACCCTAACCGCACCCCCCGCCACATTCGGCCAGAGCCTTCAGGGCGCTAGGCGGGCGACATTCCACTGGGCACTGCAGAGGAGAAAGAAATGGTGGGGGATATTGCTGCAGAATCGCTAGAGATCGGCTCTAGGCCCTAGCGAATCGGAGGTTATCAAGCACCTGCTAGTGCTCTCTAGTTCTTGATAGCCGCGGTGTTGTGTCGAGATGGTGGAGTAAGGTACTGACTGGTTCGGGCGAGCAATGTCAAGGAAATGCCAGTCTTCCTACCTACCCCGCCTTTGCTATTATATGATACCTTGAACTAACTCACCTCTTCCATCCTTACTCCCGTGGGTGGAATATCCGTTCGTTAATGCCGTACAGTACTCGAGTACAGTACCTTCTACCCCCAATACCATCCGTTTCCCTTCCGCTTTATTCCAACATTCGAGTTGTGAGAGACGCTTGGCCAATATCATCCAGAATTGAAATGATGGAAGCTCGCGGTGCCAAAAGGGGATACCAGTGTAAGGACTTTCCACCCAATGTAGCCATGTTTTACAACCTTCCGCCGACTAATCCTGTGGAGCAGTCCACACCGGATCTCCATTTATAGCGGAGACAACTTTCGTATCTCAGCCGGCTGCAGAATTTCCGAGAGAGAGGATGTTCGGAGATTAGTGTTCGAGGGCAACTGCCCATTCAAGACAGTGGACGACCTCAAGATCATGAGGAATAGTAAGCAAACGCCACCAGTTCCCGAAGAGCGTGCCGTATTAACATAACAAACTCCACGAAACGAGTGAAAGAGAAAAATTGCTTTTGTGATCTCAATTGCTTTACTGTACACTCGAACCCCGCTGTCCCGGATCTCTATAATGCGTATACCTCGCTGTCCCGTATGAAGTGTTGTGAATTCCAAAATTTTCCACAGCAAAACTTGACTTGTTGTTCCGGATAACCCGCTGTACCGGACAGATTCTTTAGATTTTGGCCGTCCGGGATAACGGGGTGTGAGTGTAATGGTTCTCAAAAACAACTACCGTACTAGTCCCTTATGCCCCCATGCACGCTCCGCATGGGGTCCCCCGTCGAATAATGAAAAGAGCAATGAAAAGAGAAAGTGGGAGGTGGGTCAACCAACCAACAACGGACCGCGTTTTTCTTTTCGAATTTACTAAAGAGAATCGCCCTCCGCTCCCCCCCGCGCTTGTTGCCTGTTCGTAGAGCTATAGTTTAGACTTGTTGATCTGCATCCCACCGATGAACATCGCCTGTGCCTTTGGAAAATCATTAAACACAGAGAGGTTATAGTAAAGAAGGGGAAAAATTCTATGCCGAGGGAATTGAGTTCGGAAAGGTGTGAGTCAGGGGGCGACCCGTGAACTTTGTGGTGATATCCAGCGATATTGAGACAGTTCGGTCCAATTTCCCCTGCCAAGATGTTGAAGGGGTCAAACCTCAAGAGTACCGGTACCGTAGTCTAGTCTAATCAGCAGTCGGGCCTCCTTTCGAGATGCCGGAGCACTTGCCTGTGCTGAAAGATATAGTAAGTCAACGGAGACCCAGTGGGAACGATAAAGTAACAATGGCCGATTTCAACCACCTTATTGGCATCTTTCTACACTCGCCTTCGCACGGCACGGCATACCCACCGTCTCCGACCGGTGTGCGGGAGCGGCCCGCTATCAACCTAGCAGTTAATATACCCATCCCGAGTGATAGCGATGAAGGATGAAGGGGGTTTGGCACTCACACCTCTATCATACCTAGAGAGGGTCAGGCGCAAAAGCGAAGCATTATCATAAATTTCCGCATCACATTATGTAAATTTTGCCAAAACCCCCCCTCTGCAGAATCTTTCACGAAAGATCAAAACTCTGGATTCAGCACGAGAAAGAAAAAAAAGGGAATATCCAACATACCATGCTATTCTTCCAGATTCCGTAAATTTTTTGGTGCCTTTTTGCTGATTCGGCCCCCCAGTTCTATGATAATACGTTATGGTATGTCTGGCAGGATGTCATGGGGTCGGGACATTTCTCGACACGAGCGCATGATAAATACTATCCGGTGAGGTCATGGTGTTGGTTAATTATTGCTATGATAGATGCTCTGTTTCCCGGACGGTGGGGTAAAGCATTGGCCTCCCCCGTTCTCATCGCTGCATAGATAAATCACATGGTATCATTTCATTTATGGACATATCATAGTGCGAACCTCAGTCTTGCGTTATTGTAGGAGTCTGCCATACAAAGCCGGTACATGTAATCCTTCCTGGTGATAGCATACAAGTACAGCCCAATGAAGCTGTAATCTACCAGGTAGAACAACGCGGGATTTCAAAAGCACCGCACTCGCCGAAAACCAGGAGTCTGTCCCCGGGGTACGATATAGCGGCCAGTGACAGATTGGCGATCACTCTCCTCTGGTAGCCCACCTGACCAGAGGGGAATCACATCGACATATTTCTCGTGGATGTAATACCACCAGAGACCAATCTCTCCATAGGTAGCAAGCTACCGGTCAGTGTTCAGAGGCCATAAAAAGTAAGTGCCAATCCCCACAAGCAAGGTGCGGCGGTAGAGCGGTTGCTGCGTGAGCGAGGTGGGGATCGAGGGCAGATTTGATTTCAGCGGGTAAGACCCGACATTAATCGGGGTATCCGCTTATATGTTACAGCAGGCTGTTCGGAATTCCCGTTTCCAGCATGCTATAAACATCGCCCTATTCGAGTTTTAGTTAGCATGATATCGGCTTTCCGTTAAAAGAAGAATCCCCATTGTCGACGGAACGACAGCAATGGGGAGTTTTCAAAGGGTTGAATATAATCCCAGCAAATATTTCGATAAATGTCTC